GTTGTTTAATAATTTCACATTCACACCAGAGCACTCACAACTCACACACTGGGGCCCGCGTTAGGCCAGGAAAAGCGCGAAAATCGCGTCCGACAATAGACGCCCGAGAACCGCCTGCGAACCGCCAGTGAACCGCACCCGAACGCGTTCTAATCAGAACTGAGGAGCAGCCGAATGTCCAACAGGCGGAGGCCCCACTCAACATGTTGCCGACCTTGCCGCCGAGTGAGCAAAAACAAATTCTTTTCAAGAGAACGAGAGCGCCACAAATAGAGAGTGAGCGGTTCTGTTTGGGTTTTATTTTCTTTTTCTGAATCAAAGTATAATCAAAGATTAATATAAACACTTCTTAATATTATTCAAAAAAAAAATACAATTTTTATTTGGCATATTGCACCTAGACTTTAATAATGGAGTCTGGTCCAAAATAGCCATTTCATCATGATTAATACTTAACTTTTAAAAGATATTATTGTTGTGGAATAAATAAAAAATAAAGATTACAATAAACAAACAAATTTCTGTTAGATTAGACTACACTTGTCATACATGGCGTATAAGTGATATTTTTAAAAGTACTACCTTATGAATTTATTCATATTCCTGGACTTATAACATTATCTCTTTTTTCTTCTACTTTAAATCCTATTTGTCTAATTTCTATGATTTTTTTCCTCAATTGCATATTACACTCATCCTGTCATAAATGGAGTATAAGTAATATCTTTGAAAGGAATTTTAGCTGTCTAGTTCAAGAACTTTATAGATAGTATCTATTATACACCCTATCCATATTTTCTTAGAAAATTCTCCCCTCTTTTAAAATCCTATCTGTCTTAGTTTTATGGTCTTCTTCCCACTTAAAATAAACACTAATTAATGAATCAATCACAATAAAATTCAAGGAGGGCTTTATTACTCTAATCACAAGTATAAATGAACGATTTCCGTAATCTTAAGATTAACGCTAGACTAAATGCGAAAAGACTAATCTAGTTTTTAATCTAAAAAATGTCAATTAAGAAAAAACAAGTATCATTTACAGAATCGAGAACAAGGACGGGATTATCAATTATCCGGAATTAGTTGAGTCCAGGTTCCAGAGCTTCCAGAAATTAAAGAAACACGCAATCGACACCAGCTTCAGCGCCACTTCAACCTCAATTTCCTGAAATTAAATTGCTTACAAGCTGCTCGGCTCAGTTAATTTCAACTTAGCAGGATATTGTCAACAGTCGTTTCCATTCCGCCTTTTGTATGGCGGTCAGAGGTCAGAGGTATGGTTGGGGAAAATGTTTGAGGTGCACTGTTGACATACAAACACCTAAAGTTCTGCACTTTGGTTGCAGTGTGTTTGCTGACTTGTGCAATTTCCGTCCGACAACACGGGGCGTATACGTAACGAGCTTTGACAGAGTCTGGGCAACAGTTGTCCGCAAATTTATCCATTACTCTATACACCTGTAATCGAGTGCCCTCACCTAAGAGTTCATCCATTTCCCACTTGACCATAACCGTCTACCATAATTATATAAATAGAAAACCAATTATTTTCCGAGGGAGTTAGAGAGATTAATAAAGAGATTTTTTTTTGCAAATTCGTTATTGAATCCAATAAATATTTAAAGCCACAATCAAAAAAAAATTTAAATAAACAATCCAGAAAAAGCGTAAAGCCTCTTTAAACACCAAGATCCATTAAAATGCCATTTAGAGAGTGTAAAGCCGCCAAGGATCAAGGCAAATTAACTAATTGAAGGCTCAAGTAGGCTTTGCATATATTTTTGTGGAAAGCAAAAAAGGTGTCCCGCCTGCCGATAGATTAAAGATGGAAAAGCCATTGGCCACCAACGACCAAGGTCATGGCCAGGACTACACCAACCCCGTAGGTAGGTGGAATGCATAATATATTGGCCAGATCGAAATCAAAACATGTTTACCTTCGCACGCCGCACGCTGAAAAGTTAGTCCTGGCTTGAGGAAGGCCACTTCAGAAGGCGACAAGTAGCCAGGACGAATTTTTTAATCCTCCAACTGTTGCCGTGGGAGTAGATATGTCTGATATTCAAGTACCTGTCGATTTTAAAGGTTTGTTGTTTTTTTGCGAATTTATACAGCTACTAAAATAATAATTATTTTCTAAAAATAAATGAAAATATCCTTCTATTCAGATGGCTTTAACCTTCTTTAATGACACAAAAGCAAACAAGTAAATGATACTTTAATGAACGACTATTAAATGTCAATCAAAGCAGAGGTCATAGTCAATGGTAGAAAATAACCTTTTTGCATTTTTAATGGACTTGCCTTGCGTTATCCTTGAGGCTTGAGTTATTTTTTACTTGCTATGAAATACTATTTAACAAAAGCCCTAAATGTATATGTTTGTTTCTTGAATAAAAAATACAACAGCCTGGCCAACTGTCGCCAGGACATAAAGCCTTATTACGAAATGTTCTTTAATTAGTCCGCTCGACTTAATTACAAAACTGCAAAGTCAACAAAAGCAGCACCACCATTTCTAAAGCAAATTGTATACAATAACAAACTCTCGACTGCCCCGGGATCTGTGGCCTTTGGCCGACAATTAACCGACTGTGGCTCTGACTCTGGCTTGTATGAGTGTTTTGGTGGCAACAGCTTGTTGACATCCAACTTTAAAGTACTTTGTCCTTTAATAATTACAAAGCTCGCTGGCAGGTCTTGAGAGATCTAATATAGTCAGTACTGAAATAAGGGTTAGTTTTTCTTATGATATTCAAACCTTTTTTTAAAAACAAGTCCTAATTTTATATGAATATTATTACACCTGTAGCTGAGCCACAACCCTCATTTCCTGCTTTACCCATTATCATTATTTTCGTAAAAAAGAGAAACAGAATGAGAATGAAATGAACAAAAACTTGGACGTGGCTAATAGCAAAAATCAATGCCGACTCGCCCCAAAATGCAAATGAGCCTCCCCCAACCATGGCAGGATCATTTGAATAAATATATTCACAAATCATGCAATTTCCTGCTGGAGTTCTGGAGCTGAATCTTCAGAAAAACAGAAAGCAACAAACAAAGTGGACCAAGAAAAAAGCAAATTCAATATAAACGCAAATTATTTGTACTCTCCGGTGGTGGCAATAACTGCAAATATAAGAAAAAAACCACCAGGGATAGCACAAAACTTTGGGAAAAAGTGTGGTGGTGTTTGGTTTTTATGTCCTGTCGTCCTGGCATAAATCTGATGGTCAACTCGATGGCCGTGTGATGTGTTCGACATGCCACTTTAAGCCACTTTTTGGTGCCAAAAAAAGTATTAAAGTAAAGGTATTTTGGTCAAAATGGTCAATAAGAAAAGTCAGAGAAATATGTAGTTATTTCATTACAGATTTTAGAAACAGCCTCTATTTTTTTTAGGTAGTAAAAAATAATAATGAAAAGACAAAACCATTTGTTATTTCTTCTCCTTACCCACACTCTCCAAATTTCTGAAATTAAATTCATCATACGCCACGTAGTCCTGCCTGGCAGGAGCTGGAAGTAAACTTTTGCACGTTGCTCCAGTGCTGACCCGCATACAAAATAGAAGACCAGCACAAACCAAAAAGTTTCAGAAATCTTTGGTAGATTTAATTATGTTTAAATAGGCTTAACCAAACTTAACACGGGATGAATAGAAAATCCAATATAGGTTGGCACACATATGTGTTCTCCGATGATAAAGTGAAACTAATTAAAATTGTGGGCATAGAAATTGTATTAAATTTTGTCAGATGGCTTTATGATAAATCCGGCAAACAAAAGCACAAGTTTCTTTATTTAAATGACAATTTTTTTCATTATTATTCCATTAGTAAACTATGAAAATGTTTTTAAGCCTTTAATAGACAGATGCCAACAAAAAAAAAGGGAAAGCTCATTAGCACTGAAAAATATATCCTGGTATAGTGTCACAGCTGCCAATAAGCCTATGGTGGGGGTTAAAGGTCACCCTTCTATCTGCCTGTTGCGCGAGTTTTCCCCTTTGATTTCATTCCGTTTCTACTTTATTATATCAATTTTTGTAGCTTTTGTTTCTCCACTAGTGAGGTTTTTTCTGCAATTTCCATCGAACCTCACGACCGGATGCAATGGACCATAAGAGAGGGCGGACAATCGGCAGCATCAGGTTAAAAGGATACAGTGACACACAACCCGCTGTCAGGAAGAACAATACGGGCTGACTTACATCCGACGGACTCTCTGCCAATCAAAGCCCAGAAATGGACAGAACAGATGAATGCAAAAATATTGGCATTTCGAAAAGCTAAAGTTACCTTTATGGATCCGAGTGCAAGTCCAAACTTTCAATCAAATATGACGGAAATATTAAAGAACCATAACTTCTACTGAAAAAAACCTGTAATTGTTTCTTTGCTAATGAAAAACAATCAAGTATGAAACTAAATAAATATAAAATGGTTTTTCAGGGCTCTTATATACGTTTTTCGGGTAATATATCTCAGGATGTGGCAGGATACCTGGATGCCCCAGGCTTTGTTATTCTCGGGCTGTTGTTTTTCTTACGTTACCAACGCAATTCCGACCAGGCAGCTTATTTATTCATATGGTTATTCGCGTTTTTTAAGAAAAATGAGCTCTGAAATATTAAAGTAGGTTCCAAAACATGTTGATAAGCATTCGGGTGCAACAGGCCGCCATTGAACTTGGCAACATGTTGCGTGTGCCAAATGTAAACAGAGAAAATATAGCGCCAACCAACCTCTTCTCCCGCTGGCGGCTTCCTCTCTGGTACGCCCCCTGAGAAAAATGTTAGTACTGGCTCACGTGGCGTATGAGTAATTCTTGTTCGGCCTTTTGCCTTCTACCAACAATTTATGACGTTTACCTCTTGGCAACGTCATGTGATAAGCTGTATTAAGTGTGAAATGTGTGAAATACGTGAATTATGTTTTGTAGACGGCACCTGGGCTGCCTCTTCTGATCCAATTTAAGAAAAACAACAATCGTAGATGTAAATATTTTGTATCCTTTATTGCTCTTCGGTTGCATTCAATCGGCATTCGCTTAAATTTTACACAAAAATACACAGAGATAGTTCAGTAGTTAGAATAATGCTGGTTTCAGTGTAGTTGTTGCTTTTAGTTTTCATGCTTTACAGATATATCAAATGCACTTTTAAGTATCAGCTTTAGTTACGTTTAACAGTTTGAATTGCTTGATTAGATGGCTGCGTACAGTAGAGGGGAAATCATCTTTGGGCATTTGCTTCCCATTATTTCGGGGTATTTAATCTTACATTTAACATAAAGTATTCCGTTCATTAGCTTTAATTAAGTAGCGAAAATGCATACTCAGTATAATTCCGTTTGAAATTGTATGTTAAACATATTATATGCAATGGCATTTAGAACGAATCGACTGACTGACTGACTGACCTAGTGACTTGACTTGATTCCGACTTGACTTGATCTCTTTATGAGGACTCTGGCGATACATGCTCTCCTCATCTAACACACATTCCATTAGCATTGGGTATCAAAAATACTTATCATGGCTTTACATTACACTTTAGTTACAAAAATATTTAAAATTTAATACCATTAACAAAAATACTTGACAATCGATTTGATTTTGGAAACTCTTGCTTACATTTTTGGAACGAAAATAAACTCATTTACAAGACATGGGGAGAAACAATAAGTGTATGTCGTGTGTGTGTTTATGAGTTGGTGCGGTGTGCCGTATGGGTGCTTAGTTCCAGTCCTTTTTGATCTCAAAGGTCCAGTCCCACTCCAGGTGTATATGCTTGTCGTCATCCGTGAAAACCGAACTGACCGAGTACGTGCCGCGGGAGAAAGTACCGGAGGGCGCCTCCTCGGCGGGCGTCAAATAGAATTGGATTTCCTTCTTCGGGGGATAGGAGCCAACCATGTGCTTCATTTTATCAACTGCCGAATGAAATAAAATGATTCAATCAGTCAATTGTTTACTCTCCTTAACAATTCAGAGATACAAGGCAGTCTTACCCACAACTTAAATCAATTCAAAATAAATTATCCGAAATTAGGTTTGGCATTGAAGACAATAGGATAGGATATTGGTTATTCTCAACACATGACTATGGTCAGTATTCCAAATGTAATAAAAACAATGTAAACCACACTGCAGAGCCCGCACAACAGAGTGGTGCCATCAAAACTACTATTTGCCATTTTCAACTTTGAGGCAACTGTTTAGTTAGAAAGCCAATAGCAGACTAATGCCTAAAGACATCAATTTGTGGGTTCTTGCCAAGAGAAGTCCCAAAAGTGCTACAGCTACGTAACACCTCTTAAAACCAATTGATAAATGCGGGATTTTAGTTTGACTTTACTAGCGTATTAAGGAAGAGTTGAAGAATCTACTATAACCCTCAGAAAAAAACCAGCTTTAGAAACACACTCACCGTTCACACCCAACCGAGAAGTCTTTTGCACATACTTAAGGCCATGGACAATTTCGCGTTGCACGATAAAATCGATGCGCACCTTGTACTGAACACCTTCTTTGATCACAAATAGCTGTCGACCAAATAATATAGGATTAATAATTGCATATATGGTTTTAAAGTGCATTACTTACCTGCTTTTTAAGCTGACTAAGGTCACCGGTAAGATCCAATTCCATATCGGGGCGTCCCTCCACAACAAGTGCCAGTTTCTTGACAATCACCTTACGAGGATCATTGGGATCTAGTTTAAAAAAACATGAACTTTGTTTAGTTTTAATTCAAACTAATCACGTGTGTGGGTATCTTACCAACAATGATCTTTTCGGTCTGGGCGGCACCCAGGAGGGCCTCCTTGTAACGTCGCAAGCTTTCGTCTTCCTGATCAGCGGCCATAATCTCCTCGATGGTCTTCTCCGGCGGCGCCTGGTAGTTGGTATCGTGCACATCCTCGTCATGGTGGTCGGGATGCTGCTGCGTCTGTGTGTCGGCCATGGTTTTTAACCTAGAACTAGACCAAGTAGCATTGTTTATAAATCAATTAATTTGGAGCGCTTTCTCTATCGCCAGGCAGTTGTGTTGTGTGGGTCATAGGCATATTTTTAGTGGTGTGATTAACACACTGAGCGTAATGGGTGTGTTTTTACATATATTTTATGCATGCGAGCGTTACTACAAGTATTTGCAAGCATGACAAATAATTTAAAACGAATATCATCTGGAATTACTTGACTAGTCGCATGTTTAGTGGTTAGCGAACAAATGCTAACGCCTAAACTCAATCCTGATAGCAGATTACCTTATCTTTCAGTTAACATCGAAGTGAGTTTATTAATTTTGGCAAAAAACAAACACTTTTCTGTGGCAAGAAACTGTTTGCCACTTCATATGCACGTTCAATAATATTGATTAAATTCCAATTATTAACGCATTGATGGACTGACACGGACGGAGGTGGTGCTGGGAGGCGGCAGTCGCCTGCAGCTGGCCCGTACAACAACAAAAACAAAAAGGTCCAACCAAATACGGAGCCAAAGAGACAGATAAGGTCGGAGCGAGCATGCGATAGAGAGAGAGGGAGCAGATATCGGCATTGAATAATATTGACCAGAACCCGCCCCCACTACCCTTCCGGCCGGGCTGGCCCCCACCCAGCGACGCCTTTATTATTATCTTGCTTTGTTTTCCATTATCTAAATACACGTCGCTTGCTTTATGTCCATTTTCAACGAATGTTGGGCCAATAATAATTCTCCACTTTCCCGATTTGGCCATATATGTATGTGGGTATGTTCGAGTGTGCTACCAGCACAAAATACATGAAATTGAAATGTTATTACTTGACATCGCGTTGTTGCTTGCTGCCAGATAATAAAAACGTATTTATATACCTAGGATATCCACACATATGTGTATGGCGATATATATATACAATGTTAGCAGAAATTCGCTGGATGAGTTGCCGAAAAAATAAACATTTCCCCAAAAGTTTAGGCCATCAAATACAATCGAAACAATTAGGACCGAGTGGGCCAAAGGTAATTTAGAGAAGAATCTTGACCAAACAAAAATTCAAATTCCAAACAAAACGTCGAGAAACCCACTGCCAGGAGAGAGAGCACGAGATTGTTAGAGGGAGAGAGTGGAGGAGTGGCGACCCCCCGTCAGAGTTTCCGATTGGTGTGGGGATATTTCAAGGAAATGTAGGAACCATGCCAGTTTTTGATAAAGAAAGAAGAATGTTAAGACCCCAGACGTATGAATCACACACACAAACACATGCACACACACTCAAACCGGCACATGAGTCGTCATTGGTTTTTTTTTATTTTATTGCAAGTACACTTTTTTGGGAGGAGTACCCCTGCCTGAAGGTACACAAACAGTAGTTATAAACATCAAATGCTATTACTGAGCCTAAAATTTAATATTATTTTAATAGCCTGCATTGGAACGCACGCACACACACTTGCACCCGCACACAATTTGAAGGCGTCGCGCACTCACCTTTTTAAAGCCAAGTAAATAACTACCAAATGGCGTTTCTTGAAGAGTTTCCCGAAAGATGCGTGCCCAGTAAGTTAAAATAAATTTTTTACAATTTTTTTTGGCTTTGATAGACAAATTTAGAAACAAAGCAAAATACAACGAAAAACACTCGGCGAAACAAGAAATAAAATCACATCAGATATCTGGCGCCCTCTAGTGGAAGCAGTGCTGCCAACTTGGTACTTTTCAGAGCTTGTGATTTGGCCAGATTCGGCTATTTTCCCAAACAAATTTTATATTTTCAAAGTCGATTAATAAAAATACATATCATATAAGTCATAACGACATTGAAGCGAAGTCGTTCCAATTATCCAACTATTTTCTGATATTTTAAAATAAAAACACGTCTTCCTGCATGCTGGTCACACAAAAAATGAACAGCTGTTTATTACTTCATCGTTGAATTTTGCGTGGAAAATTGGAATATGACTTCCCAGTACCTGAATCAAATGCATACTGCAGACAAATTAGCCGCAGAGCCGTGGCCTGAGGATGCGACGCTCTACCAGGTAAGTTCTTTAGTCCCAGAAGCAGGACAACCTTTTAAATCCGACTGTTGTCTATCCTAGCCCTATGAGGCAGAGCAGATCTTGCTGCCGGAAAACGCAAGTTGCTTGGCGGTTAAGGCTTACCTGAAGATGTGCCAACTGCCATTTGGAATACGGTCATGTGCTAACGCTGAGCACATGTCCCCAGGTGGGCGGATGACCAAGCTGCCATTCATCCGTGCTGGAGCATTTATTTTTGCAGAGTTTGAACCGATCGTAAACTTTGTGGAGCAAAAGGAACTTGCCATCGGCAGTTGGCAAGACGAGGACGAGAAGGCCGACATGCGCACGTATGTGTCGCTTGTGGAGAATATATTTACCATGGCCGAGCTGTACATCAGCTTCCGCAATGAACGCGTTTATAAGGAGGTCACGGCACCCCGTAACGGCATCGTCTTTCCTTGGCCCCTTAGCCTCATGCAAAACTACAGCAAGCGGCGTAATGCCCTTCGCCTGCTAAAGGTATATCAGTGGGATGACCTGGACATAGACGCCGTCATCGACAAGGTGGCGAAGTGCTGCGAGACCCTTGAATACAAACTGAAGGAGTCTCCTGATACGCCGTATTTCTACGGCGACCAACCCTGCGAGCTGGACGCCATCGCTTTCGGGCATCTCTTTAGTATCCTGACAACCACGCTGCCCAATATGGCCCTCGCCCAGACAGTGAAGAAATTCAAGCACCTAGTCGAGTTCTGTCGCTTCGTCGATGAGAAATACTTTCAGACCAGGTGCCTCCACAATTAGATGTATTGTTAGTTATTGTTTTGCAAAGCGTATCAAATTATAGTCGTTATCATTTATCTGCTGTTTTTCTTTTGTCCATAAAACTTAATTATAGCCTTTTATTGCTTTATAGGAGTGCAGCTTTTTACTCCACATAGCTTTCAGGCATTTATACTGGTCAATATTTTCTATAAAAAGTTTTAAGTTTTGTTTTAACAGACCAAAAAACAAACTAAACAAAAACTTATTTAACGCATTTTTCTTTGAATATTTTTCCTGCCTTTTTTTAGCCAAAAGCTGCTTTAGGATTAAAGTTATGAACTTTTACTAATTCAATTTCTACTTTGGAAATTTATTTACAGCAAATAAATAATTTAATCTTTTAAAAGCATTTCTCATTTATTTCTATTGATATACTGTGGCTTATCGATTGTGGTATATCGATATCCATAACGAATCGATCGACGATTTTAGTTCATCTCTAAGTTTATAAAAGTTTATTTCTAATAAGAAAAGTTAAGAAGAAACCCCCGTTAACAAATAAGCGCCAAAAATATAACAAAAACTAGAAAAGTGATACAGATAATTAAAACGAACAAAAAATTAAACAATACTTAGTTAATTAAAGAAAAAAGAACCTATTTCACAATTGCATGTAAGTGGGGCTTATCAGTAGATGACTCACAGGATGCAATATTTTTTTAATTTTAGTTTGTCAAATAAAAAAGTACCGCACTAAAAAAAAAAGAAGAAAAGAATTATGTCAAATGATACTTTGAAGATCGTTTCATACAACATTAAGGGACTGGAAGGAAAGCACCTAAATGATGATTTTAACCAATATCTTCAGAGTTTTGATGTCTTCATTTTATTAGAAACTCATGCAGATTCCGGAAAGCATTTGGATACATACGAACGATTCAAAGAACAACATTCCGACTTTGATTTATATTGTAAGGATGCCATAAAGGTACTTCGAAAAGGCCGTGGGAGCGGTGGAAGTATTATAGGCATTCGAAAATCTCTTAAGGACATTGGAGTCAAATACTCAATGGAAAAGTTGGCCGTCTGGGAAATCCTAAAATTGCGTCTAAGTTCGAGAGAAGTTAACATACTTTCCCTATATCTTCGCCCAGCTTCTTGGGAGGAAGAGTTTGAAAAATTACATGAAGAAATTGATAAACTTGACGTGGTAGATAATTTCTTAATCTTGGGAGATGTTAACATCCGACTGGGAGAGGTTACACAGGATGTGGCCTGGTCTCCTTGTATAAAAAACAAAAATGGGAGAAAATCGGAGGATAAGAAGCACAACAAAAAAGGGATATCCTTTTGTGATTTTTGCAACAAAAACAACTTTCAAATATTGAACGGGCTGACCCACGGAGATTGTGATGGTCGCTTGACTTTCATTGATCCAAATTTGGGGAAATCAACAAACGACATAGCTGCAGTTAGCCGAAATATATTGGCGATGGTTAAAGACTTCAAAGTTGACAGCCCAGAAACCGGGCAAACCCGACATGGTTCGGACCATGTACCAATATGCGTGCAATTGCATCTTCATGCTGAGCAGTATTCCCAAACGGTTGAAGACTTGCCAGTAAATGCATGTTCCTTTGATTCCAGCCTAGTTCAGACTGAATCTTCGATGGATGCAGATGTCACCGACGATGAAGTGCGGTACGCCTGCAAAAATCTACATGACAGCTACACCTGCAGGTGGGATGATAAAGATTTTATAGCTGAAAAGAAAGTTCGGTGTAATGAGTTATTTAGGATCGTTGCAGAGAATATGTTAGGAATGGCAAACGAGAATGATGCCGAAATTCTACTCAAAATAATTGAAAAAAGGCTGAATGATTGGTGCAATAAAAACAAAATACTTAACGATTTTCAACATAGCTCTGCTAATGGCTTATCTAAACTTGACTTGATATACAATTTGCATGCCGCAGTTCATATTGAGTTGGGTGAAAAGCGGGGGAAAGTGTACGCTTACTTTCTAAACTTTCAACATACTTTTTCGTCGAGGACCTTTGCATTTCTCTTCGGAAAATTGCAAAAGCTTGGCGTATCCTCAAAGGTGATATGTTTTTTGAGATTCGCATTTTGTGATTCAAATTTAGAGGTTTTAGATTCGCATTTAAATTTCAAGAAACTGATAAGGTTGATGTATAGCCTTTATTTGAACGATTTGGCAGAATCCATAAAGGGGGGCCTCGTCATTGAAAGTCGTAGAGTAGGGCTTCTAATGTGTACCAACCACATTGTAATTCTTTCGGAAAGCATCTCCAAATTGCAAAATATGATAAATCAGTTACAGGCTTACTGCCACAAGTGGGATTTAACGATCGACCACATTAATTCTGAGGTAATGGTTTTTTCGAGAGGCGGTATGATTTCAGCGTCTGAGAGTTGTTCAATATATGGGAAAAAGATAAAAACTGTATCTAAAGTGACTTTCTTAGGTTTCTTTTTCACTTCAAAACTGTCGCCTACGAGTCATGTCCTCGAAATGATCCAAAAGGCCAAAACATCTTTTCAAAACTTTGAAGCACTCGATGATTGGAGAAAATTTTTGAAAATGTATATGCCAAATGTGTGGGGATGCCGGGAAATCACGAAAATAGATCAACTTCAAGCTCTAGTTTCCAGAAAAGGAAATAAAACCGTAGCAAACTCTTTAGCACAGAAAAGTCTTAACAGTCTGGCTCAAGATCTCTTTTTAGAATATATAAGAAAAGTCATTTTTGTCTATGAAAACGATAGTCTTAGTCGTTACCTTACTCTTAAAGTAATTGAAAAAAATGTTTTTTGGGCTGAAACTCTAGATAAAAGGTGCAATACTAGTAAAATTGATTGGAAATATCATCTTCAATCACAAACGAATTGGGACAAATTACGTAATATCTTAAACCAAAGTTAGCGATTTAGACTTATTTGAATTTATTTTTTTGTAAGTCTCTGTTCTTATATATTATCGTTATTATCTTTGTGATTGTATAGCAATGTTTACAATGTTTTTATTATTTATAATTTTTTTATTATTTTATTTTGTTCTTATTATCTTTATGTCTTAGAACCAAGTTTATATTTGTACTATTAAGCGTGTATTTTAATGAGATATTATTCTTATTACATAAAGAGAATTTTATTTTATTAAATTTTTTTCTTTATGTCTTTTTATTAATTTCTGTATATTTTTTAAAACATTTTTTTTAATAAAAAACTTTTAAAAACAAATAAAATGAATTGATAATTTTATTTAGTTTAATAAAGCTGTGTATATTGTAAGCTATCTTAAATGTTTTATAGAGTTGGGTGATTTATATGGGAGTTTTAGTTTCAACCTGTTTCTGTTATTTTAAAACTTTCGATAAGAAGTCCTTAGCTTATATCTACACAATCACGAAAGTTATTACAGTTACGATAATTTTATTAACTATAGGATATAGTCGTCCGATATTTGATAAATTGTGTAGATCGGATCAATCATCCAAAAATGGTATGACCCGTAGAAAATTGATACCTTCTAACTTCTTAAACATATTAGTTATGCCATTTCACTTCAATACGTTATATGTCGTCATCAGGATATAAGTGAAAATAAAAGGATGCACAAAGAAGTGCATTTAAAAAAGAAAATACCATTTTTCAAAGTAATTTGGTATTAATTTCCCTACTCTACTTGGTCACACTGTCATATGTTAGTGTTGTTTTGATAAAAATGTCGCGAAGAGGTAGACCCATGAAGAAGAAAAAGTTCCTCTGGAGCGACACTGCCACCGATCGCCTTGTAAAAATGTGGGTGGGCAAAAGCAATACAATCAAAGGCTATGGAAAAAACACAATCATCCACCAGGAAATGGCAAGTGAGCTGAAAGACTATGGTCCGACACCAACCGAAATAAAGGCCAAGCTTGACTGCATGAAGAAGAGATACCGGTAAATATTTAAGATTCCATTCCCAAGATTTATTGTAATTCTTTTCTAATTTAAGTCGCGAACTGGGAAGGATGGTTTCGATGAAGGAGGTGAGATCCGACTGGAGGTACTTTGACAGCTTGCATCACATTTTCAAAGACGAGCATGTCAGAATAGACCGCAGGAACAAGGGTATGTAAAACCTAATGTCAGGATTCAAGGGAACATAGCTTACACTCGTTAAGGATAGATAAGAAAATACCTTGAAATTGGCAGCACAGCTAAACTAATGTATAATCTATAAAGTCACTATAAATATTCTCCCAAATTCTTTTAGATTCCGCTGAAATGAAGAAAGAAGTGGACCGTTATGAAGACGAGGGTTCGGATGATTCGGAAAGTTCAATTGAATTCTTTTATCCTGAGCTGGAAGCGGAGGAGGCAGCTGAAATAAAAGCTGAAGCTGACACAGACGCAGAAATTGAACCCGAAATTGAGTCTGAGATTGAAGAATTACAACCGGTCTCCAACGAAAAGTATTTTAAACGCAAGCGGTCGATTTTAAGAATTGAGCAAGAAAAAATAGCTGTCCAGAAGCAGACCTTAAATATAATGCGGTCGATGGTTAAGGAAATTTCCAACTTTCATGCGTCATTTTTAATTACTTATAAAACACAAAACAAAAAACGCTCTACGTAGTTAAATTCAGACCCATTAATTAGCTGATGGAATAAACTATATATGTACTTAATATTAGATTAGTTATATTTCCACTTTAAAATGTGATTCGGAATTCTCATCACAAGCACCTTATTGTTTTAACCATTCTGAGACAATATTCGTTTTCATAAAAAAAATCATATATTTGTAAAGATATTATGTAAAGACCCTAAATATATGAAGTTTAATTTGTTTTATTATAAAGTTAATTTAGATTATTATTAATATGCAATTTACATAATTTGCACGCAGTTTGCCAACATTTCCTCATCACTGTTGATGTTTATCAAATCAAATGACAGGAACAAGCTTAACGACAGTTTGACCAATCAGCTCAGCTAAAGGCTTAGTTGCTGGGCAGATTAGTGGCCGCCACTGTTGGATCACCTCCTGCGATGCCCGCCGGTGCTGTTGGGGCTGAAGGGACTCCTGCCGGTGCTGGTATTGGAGGCGAAAAAACATGCGCCATTTGTGGTGGCAGTGGCGTTGGCTGCGTGGGAAAGAGTCCTCCCATGGAGGGCTGAACCTGTGGATACGAGGGCACCGTCTGGGCGCCAGCTGGGTATGAGAGAGTTGCCGGAGCCGACATGTATGCCTGTTGCGGAGCAGAGAACATGGGCACTGCTGCAGGTGCTGCAGTTGCTTGTGGAAATGGCAGCTGAGCGGCGGGAATTCCTTCGAGTGTCGCGTTCTGTTGTGTGCTCGGATCATAGACTCCGGGAATAAAAATGTTGGCTGGTGGCGGCAAAGGCTGTGTAGACGGCTGTATAGGTTGTATCGACTGCGGTATAAGTGGTGTGGGAGGTGGAACTTGAACTGGAGCCACAGCCACGTCAACAAGTGGCGGCGGTGCCACCGCTGCCGCTGGTACCGCAGCTGGGTCGGTAATATTCGCCTGAGTCTCGAGCGCTGCAGTGAGAGCATCTGTAGCATCATCCGGGTTGAAGTAGGTCTTAAACAGGCTCTGCGCTGGTGGATCTATGGTAGGTGGTCTTATCTCTGCATTGGTAGATCCAAAAGTGTTTGCAAGTGGTGGTATATAAGGCAACGTTGGTGAGACGACAGCAGATCCAGCAGCAGCCACAGGGGCAGTAGCACCAGCTGGAACAGCTCCACCTCCGCTTAATAGCGGAACAGCAGCCTCCGACGCAACAGGAACAGACCCAGCAGCTCCGGAAAGGGGCGCTGCTTGCACAGGAATGCGATGCAGATAACCAAAGCCAATGCCACATCCAAGAGCGCCCTCTCCTCCCCAGGCAGTGTTGGGCTTGATGGTTACCTCGCGGCACGCGTCATCATCCAGATTGTAGACGTACATCTTCAGCGGCTGCTGCTCGTGGGTCTCGATCAAAGTAAAGAGGTCGTCGTTCTCGTGGCGGATCGCATCGGCACCGATCACATAGTCGCTGTAGGCCCTGAGGCCAGCCAACTCGGCCGGAGAATTAGGATGCACTTCCAGGATATGCCAAACACTTTCGTTGGCGCCCTCGAATGAGCAGAAGCGGATGCTGACGCCCAGAAGTCCCTGTCCGCCCCAACTGTTGCTGGGCGTAAGAGTCAGTTCGCGAACAGTCTGCGTTTTGCTGGAGTACACAGTGAGGCGCACCGGTTTGTCAACGTTCTGGCGCAGCAGCTCCTTCAACATATCGTTGTCTTGGTCCAGTCGAGTACCGGCAATGGCCACAATAAAGTCGAAGAAGGCTTCCAGACCGGCCTTCTGTCCCGGCGAGTTGTCCTGCACCTTGAGGACGTGGTAGCCTGTAAAAGAATTATGTATGTTTACACTGCTAGTTCCAATATTACGTGGGTGTATGTGCGTGTGTTCTGATTGGACACGGCAAAGTTTACGTGTCTCTCTGAAGAGAGTGGGTCGATTGGTTTACCTTCGGTGCCGCCTCCGGGGACATGAATGCTGTGACTCGAGCCCATCTTTAGCTAGCGTCAACCCCTAATGTACCAACTTGTGCAGCGTAGAAGTTCCGTCCTTAATTGTGACAGCAAAAAAATTGTGTTCTTCGTGGCAAGTAGAGGTGGAGAATCATCGATGGGAACTTCGATGCATCGATGTTTTAGAAATTTTTAGAAACATCGATAATTTGTGGCCTTTATCGATGTTTGTGTCACGACATTTCAAAATATAATCTGCATCAAAATCTACAAGGAGAGTTTTTTTTTTATATATTCTTTAGTATATTCTTAAAAAAATCATTGTTCCATTTTCATAAATATGAATTAATATATAAGAACATATATTTTATTTTTTGTCAAATTTTCGGAAGGTCCCAATCAACAAATCATGATTCGAGCCACACTATTATGGCTCACTGCGAAGTATATATATTTGGCAATATTCATCCGATTCTTAAGAGGAATATCTTAAAAGATTCGTAGATCGATTCTCCATAAATCTGCATAAAAATCTAAGAACATTTAATTTTTTAGATTTTTGATCAAATTTTCTCGAGGGTCCCCTTCAAAAATCCACAAAACAGCTTGGGGCCACAGCATGGCTCACTGCGAAGTCTATATCTTTGGCAATATTCATCCGATTCTTGAGCGGAGTACCTTAAACGATTCGAAGATCGATTCTCCATAAATCTGCATCAAAATCTAGGAGCATTCAATTTTTTAGATTTTTGCTCAAATTTTCTGGAAGGGTCCCCTTCAAAAATCCACAAAACAGCTTGGAGCCACAATGTGGCTCACTGTGAAGTCTATATCTTTGGCAATATTCATCCGATTCTTGAGCGGAGTACCTTAAACGATTCGTAGATCGATTCTCCATAAATCTGCATCAAAATCTAAGAGCATTCAATTTTTTAGATTTTTGATCAAATTTTCTCGAGGGTCCCCTTCAAAAATCCACAAAACAGCTTGGGGCCACAGCATGGCTCACTGCGAAGTCTATATCTTTGGCAATATTCATCCGATTCTTAAGAGGAGTACCTTAAACGATTCGTAGATCGATTCTCCATAAATCTGCATCAAAATTGAGCATTCAATTTTTTAGATTTTTGCTTAACTTTTCTGGAGGTTCCCCTTCAAAAATCCACAAAACAGCTTGGAGCCACAATGTGGCTCACTGTGAAGTCTATATCTTTGGCAATATTCATCCGATTCTTGAGCGGAGTACCTTAAACGATTCGAAGATCGATTCTCCATAAATCTGCATCAAAATCTAGGAGCATTCAATTTTTTAGATTTTTGCTTAACTTTTCTGGAGGGTCCCCTTCAAAAATCCACAAAACAGCTTGGAGCCACAATGTGGCTCACTGTGAAGTCTGTATCTTTGGCAATATTCATCCGATTCTTAAGAGGAGTACCTTAAACGATTCGTAGATCGATTCTCCATAAATCTCAATCAAAATCTAAGAACATTCAATTTTTTAGATTTTTTCTCAAATTTTCTGGAGGGTCCCCTTCGAAAATCCACAAAACAGCTTGGAGCCACAGTAGGGCTCACTGTGGAGTCTGTATCTTTGGCAATAGTCATCCGATTCTTGAGCGGAGTACCTTAAACGATTCGAAGATCGATTCTCCATAAATCTGCATCAAAATCGAAGAGTATTCAATTTTTTAGATTTTTGTTCAAATTTTCTGGAGGGTTCCCTTCGAAAATCCACAAAACAGCTTGGAGCCACAGTAGGGCTCACTGTGGAGTCTGTATCTTTGGCAATATTCATCCGATTCTTAAGAGGAGTATCTTAAACGATTCGTAGATCGATTCTCCACAGATCTGCATTAAAATCTAAGAGCATTCAATTTTTTAGATTTTTGCTCAAATTTTCTTGAGGGTCCCCTTCAAAAATCCACAAAACAGCTTGGAGCCACAATGTGGCTCACTGTGAAGTCTATATCTTTGGCAATATTCATCCGATTCTTGAGAGGAGTATCTTAAACGATTCGTAGATCGATTCTCCACAGATCTGCATTAAAATCTAAGAGCATTCAATTTTTTAGATTTTTGCTCAAATTTTCTTGAGGGTCCCCTTCAAAAATCCACAAAACAGCTTGGAGCCACAATGTGGCTCACTGTGAAGTCTATATCTTTGGCAATATTCATCCGATTCTTTAGAGGAGTACCTTAAACGATTCGTAGATCGATTCTCCACAAATCTGCATCAAAATCTAAGTACATATTTTTTAGGCCTAACGACAAATTATCTGGAAGACCCCCTTCAGCCACTATATGGCTCCCATAAAATCAAAATCCCCCATTTAATTGTTTGAGTAAAAGCTTAATGGTTATCAGGCTCCGCCTGAAGAGCTTTACTTTTATATTTATTCTTTTTAATTTATTTCCTTTGTTTTGAAGCCGTTGTGCCAAGTTTTTTATGTTTTCAAGTTATAAATAAGTTATATCTTAGAAGCTTCACTTCATCGCCGCCGCGACCTGCCACTGCTGCTGGTACTTCGTCACAGCTTCGCGATGTTTCAGCATGTCCTTTTCCCTGTGGTAGACAAAAGAACCATTAAATATCATTATACCATGAGGATACCAGTATGGGAACACCGGATTTTGCATTTCTATTCAAAACGGGGTTTGAAAGTTTGCAATCCTCCGGCTGTCCAATGTAGAACCACAATCCCAGAGCTGCTGGAGTACTTACATGTTTTCTAGTGTGTCGGTGGAACTCTTGAGCTCCTTTGAGATATATTCAATGCGCTTTCCCACGTTCTGGCGTGAGTCCTCCAGCTCCTGCTTGACCAGCACCGGTCCGAATAGCTTGTAGACCTTATTGTCCGGCCCCAAAAGGTTCAGCTCGTCCAGCACACATTTGTTTTCGTTCAGTTGGCTTTCCAGGAGGGCCCGCTGCTTGACCATCTTCACACAAGCTGCTCGTACACATTTTTATTAAAGATTAAAGGAATCAAAGGAACAGATGGTTTTTTCTTACACTTTTGCAGGTTCTGGTATGACTCAACCTCGGTCTGCATCTTTTTGTACAAGGCAGCGCTGTTTTTATCCATTTTGATTGTTTGGCTCTAGCTGGAATTTATAAATATACAATTTTATTCTTTAAAAACTGCAACTTTGCAATTTTTTAATAAATGAAACAATATTTCGAGCTGAAAATGTGAGGTTTAGCGGTGTGACCCTAAGCTGAAAACACACAGAGTTGCCACAGTGGGTTAATTTTCCAGTGTCGGTAAACGCCGAATGTCTCAATGATTAATGTTTGCTTATACACCTCCATATTTATAGCTGCATGATGCACTTAACTGTTGTTAATATAAAAACTAAAAGAATTGTGAAAATGCACTCAAAGATAAATCATCACGATGCATTCAAATTGTAGAATAATGAATTATTTTATCTAACAAACAATATTGAAAAGGTATCATGCAGTCGTAGCGTTCCACATACTCCTATAATAACGCTGAGACAAAAGCAAAAGATTTCGCGCCGAAAAGGAAGACTGCAAAAACACACAAAGCGGTGCAAATATAAAAACAAAAACCGAAACTAAATGGTGAAAATGTTCTAAAAGACAAGCGCATTGTTTAGTGCGTGGAAACAGTGCGTGTTTTGGCCAGGCAGCTTGTGTTTGCGATACGTAGACTAATCTCCTCAACCCCGCCCCGCCTCCGCACTAAATCACACAATGGCTCCAGCGAAAAAACGCGAGAAAGACAGTAGCGTAGATGCTCCGGCTAATGGCATCAATGGAATGTCCTCCAACAGAGTGGCGGATGCCGCAAACCCAAGTGGTAGTGGCAGTACGGCAACGGGAAACGATACACATGCGAAACTGAATGGACACCAGCAGGAGCAGGAACTCTTTTTGCAGGCGTTCGAGAGTAAGTACAGCTGGTAGTCCGGCACAATAAGCCCAACAAACCTTTGCATCTTTCTATAATGTGAATCCTCTGCAGAGCCCACGCAGATCTATCGTTACCTACGCAATCGGCACGAGACAAATGTGAGTACGTCCATGACCCAGATGGGCCAATACTTAATCTCTTTCTGTCTCTTTGCCCGTAGCCCATATTTTTGAACCGCACCCTAAGCTATATGAAAGAACGAATGTCGCGCAACAACAAAAAACGGGTCAGCTTCAAGGTCAACTCCATACTGGACAGCATTGTGCAAAAGTCGGAAGCCGTAAGCCAAAACTACCTGCACGTTATCTACGATTCGCTGCACGAGAAGCTTAAAACAGCGCCAGATGCCACTGGAGAGGATCTGCTGGAGGAACAATTGCTTTGTGAAGCAGGGGAATCGATTTGTGTGGAGACAACGCTCTACAAGATCACTCGAAGCAAGCGCAAGGACAGTACGTTGGACTTTCAGGAGCTGCTTAGCAAGAGTTCCCGCATTGTTTACAATCCAAAGGAGCGAATTGGGGAGCACTCGGCCATCAGCATACCGCTGCAGTCGATGCGGCCGATGGGCGAACAGCACACGCTCTACAAGCTGCTCTTCCGCATTAAGGTGTTGGCGTTGGGTTCATGCAACGACGAGAATGCAGGTAATGATCAGATAGAGCTTTTCATTAAAAGGTATATGACTTCATACTAAATCCTCTCCATTTCCAGAAACTCCACTTATTAAAAGACCTCGACGGAACGAGAAGATTTTCGGCTCGGAGCTGATACTGTACGAGAAGTCAACGGGTTTCATTACCGAGGGCGAATATGAGGCCATGCTCCAGCCGCTCAATTCATCGAGCATCAAGTCCTTCTCGCCAAAGAAATGCACCTGGGAAACAATGCCCGACAGCTACATTCCGCTCTCGGTGACCTACGACGTCTACCAGCAGAGTCCCATGCTCAAGTTCCATCTGACACTCTCCAATGAACCGCTTCCCGAGACCATATCGGCGACGGAGCTGCAGCGCTATGTCCAACATCTGGATGCGGTTGCTGGCTGTGAAATGAATCACAACAACAACAATTACAGCAATAACAACAACTGCAGCGGCTTAAAGAACGGTGGAGTAGTTTGTAAATCACTGCCGGAGCACATCCAAATCGTGTACAACTTTATGTACAGCAACAATACCCGCCAGCAGACCGAGTACACGCAGGAGTTGATTTGTCCCTGGTGCGGATTGGACTGCCTGCGGCTGTACGCGTTGTTGAAGCACCTGAAACTCTGCCATGCCCGTTTCAACTTCACATATCAGCCGGCGGGCAGTGGGGCACGCATTGACGTGACCATAAACGATGCCTACGATGGCTCCTATGCCGGATCACCGTACGATCTGGCCGGACCATCGGGCTCGTCCTTTGCCCGGACCTGTGGCCCGGTTCGTCGCACTTCAGTTACCAGCCTGATGGTCTGTCGGCCGCGCCGTCAGAAGACTTGCCTGGACGAGTTCTTGGAGCTGGACGAGGACGATATCAGTAACCAGAGGTCTTACATAACGGGGCACAACAGGTGAGCGGGGTTTTGGATTTTATTTAAAAGTTTATGTATTTAACCGTCTTTGCAGGCTTTACCATCATACCGAGACCTGCTTGCCTGTGCATCCCAAGGAGCTGGACATCGACTCGGAGGGCGAGAGCGACCCGTTGTGGTTGCGCCAGAAGACCATACAGATGATCGACGAGTTCTCCGACGTCAACGAGGGCGAGAAAGAGCTTATGAAGCTGTGGAACCTCCACGTGATGCGACACGGCTTCGTTGGTGACTGCCAACTGCCGCTGGCCTGCGAGATGTTCCTTGAGGCCAAGGGTCATGAGATTGTACGCAAGAATCTCTACCGCAACTTCATTCTGCATATGTGCTCCCTTTTCGACTACGGCCTCATTGCGGCCGAAACCGTGTACAAGACGGTGCAGAAGCTGCAGGGAATGCTGAGCACATACGGGGCTGGCCAAGAGATGATGCAGCGACAGCGCGAGGCCCAGCTTAAATATTGGATGGAGGTGGGAATGCACAAGAAGCAGGAGGATCCCAAGACTCTCAAGTCCCCCCAGAAGCCGGCACTTCCGGCTAATACTGCCACAAACTCTTCAACCTCCTCCACAAACGGTGCAGCGGCTAGTTCCAGCTCCATGCAACCACCCAAGCGGATGCCCGCTCACTTGAAACGTTCCAGTGCCGCCTCCTCCTCCGGATCTACCCAGGAAAACAGTTCTGGCAATGGAAGCGGCGCTGGCTCAAACAACAGCAAGAATGTGGCCAAGAAGAGTGCCGATCAGCCGCCCTCCAGCATGGCCAGCACCCGGGAGCGCCGTTCCGATCCGGGTCTGAAGCGCAGCAGCAGCGGAACAAGACTATCAGCAGGAGCAGCTTCGGAATCTGGCCAGGGCCAAGCATCAAAACGAAAACTGAACGCCAAAGGTACGTCCTGTTCTAGAAACCCAGATCATGGTCGAGCAATTCAGTCTCATACTCATCGTAGTCACCTGTCACGGCTTGGGGGGCTTACTGCTGTAATCTGAGAGTAGTCTGAGGGGGCTTCTAAGAAAGTTCCATCATCGCTATTATATTCTAAGATATTCATATATTCCCCGCTCATTCTTCAAAGCACTAAAAAAAATTCAAATATGAGGGTCATTCCCAGTTCCTTGTAACTTTCGCCATGAAGATGGTTGACTGCTATTCATGTGTACATATGAACCACATTAACATCTCTCCATCGTCATAAGTTCACCACAAATGCCACAAAAAAACAAAAAACAAATCAAATCAAACCTCAAAATTTCAATCAAAATTTATACGGTGGCATCCAATACCGGATGCTTCTCTTTCTCTTTACATTTTCATTTTGTTTCTTTTGGATTTTCACTGAATTCTTTCTAAATGTGAACGCGAGTGCTATGGCAGATGTGGATGATGTGGCTGATGTGGAGCCGTCGACGGCGGATGTGCCCGAGTTGGTGGCCTTCAGCGACAATGCTGTCGATGTTGGTATCGGTAGCGGTATCGGTATCGGTGATGATGATGATGATAGTCCCGTGGGAGTAAATGGAATTGCACTCCCAGTTGACGACAACTGCGTAGGCAATTAATAAAATAGTAAATTCTTTCCTCCCCCCCTTCTATCATTACTTTTTCTAATCTCCCACCTATCATCCACCACCATGCATCTAGATAATGCGGCGTTGACCAAGCGACAGCGATACAGTGACGGAAGCCCCAGGGCAGGAACAGGATCCGGAACTGCGACAGCCAACGGAGGCGGAGGGAGCCGCACCAACAAAAGCAATAACCATACACTGCCAGCCAACAGCAACACCAGCAGCAGCAGGAAGCGTCTGATCGCGCGCCGTCGCTCCACCTCGGAACGGAGCAAAGCCAACGGATCGGCGGGAGCAACGGGAGGCGTCCGCACCAGGCTCTCGGTGCCGGCCAAGTACGAGAGGCGCTGACGCAAGCGACGTCCCTGCTGCTGCTGCTGCTCCTCGTCCGTCACCGCCAACTGACCATCGCAGGGCTTAATTGTTTCATATTTTTGTCGCCAGGCCAGGCAATGTTTACGCTCTTTATGTTTACGGACTCAATTCTATTATGTTGTGTTATATTTTAATCGATCTATGATGTTGGACCATTGTAAAGCCCGGTGTCGGGTTCGAAATTGACCTCAGAACCGGGGCTTGGATCTGGGGGACCACTCCAAGCCATCGGCCCATAGTTTCAGTTGTACATCCAAATCGAAATGATCGGAATTATTGTAATTTTTATGCCAGTTACTTATCAAATACAGGTCTTAGGGCGGCTCCGCTACCGGCAGGACCAGTTCAAAGCCCATTTGAATTGCCTGGCTTTCGGTTTATTTATTTCGGATCATGTTGAAAGGCTTTTGTGACTAAGAATAAAACAAATTAAATGATTGTAATTAGTACAGAGTGGATACAAATATATTTACAGCAATAAGCAAATCTATTTTTAAAACTTGACAAGCTAAACATAATTCCAAAACTGAACACAAAACCAACAAACACACAGCTACACTTACAACATACTTACACACCAATAAAAACTCACTTTAAATGCAAACAAAATATATATATATTTAAATTTTAAAAGAAAAAAGTGCTGAATAAAGTATGCATATATATTTTTACAGTGCATTCAAATATTTTTTGTATTTTACTCCAAATAATTCCCCCTTTGGAACAGCTTCTCTAGAAGTTATAGAACCTAAATATTAAAAAATGAAACATCTTATTTAAATGTTTTTTTTATTTATAAAGTAGATATATTTTTTATTTAATGACATTTGAATCAATCGCCTCCAAAGGGTACAGACATTCTCTGGGTGTTAGTTTCTGAACTTTAATTTCTTTCTTAAATATTAGATGGTTGAATGCACTTCTCTATTTAACAAAGTTGGGATTCTTTTTCAATATGACGAATCCCTCCATGACCGGAGTGAGCGCCAAATACTCGTCAGTGGCCAGCTCGGCGCGCTCGCCAATGGCCAGCAGGACGGGCGTGGTGTGTGTCTGGAAGCCGGTGATGGTCTTCGGTTTGCCAGCTTGGCCCACAACATCGATGGCGATACCCACACGAACGGGCACCTGCAGCTGGTTGAGCTCCTCGTCGAAGGTGATCAGCATGCGAGCCTGCATGGCCGGCACAAGGGTGTACAGCAGATAGTGCGACCGGTTCAGGATCAGGTTCTTGACATCCAGCAGGGAGACGAGGGTGGCCATCAGACCGGCAACGGCCATGGGATTCATGAGCTGGCGGTCGCTGTGGTAGGGACTCAGCGAGAGCGTTCCCTTGCCCAAGTGCGTCAAGCTCTGGGCAATGCGCACCATGAACAGATTGCTGGGGTCCTTTGAGTGGTACTGGGCCAGCTGGCGCAGCATCGAGGCAAGGCGGGCGTTGTTAGTGCCGGCGCCCACCAGACCCATGGCGAAGATGGCATTGTGGGCTACCTCGGCATCGCTGTCGTGGGAGAACTTGCTCAACGTATCCAGGATGTTCAGTTTGGGGTTGGAGGCGGAGATCAGACCCAAGGCCAATGGCACAGCCCGTCGAATGGCGGGTTCGCAGTAGCGCAGCAAGTTGCCAAAGGAACGGTATGCCATCTCCGCGCCAATATCCTCGCCCATGGCGATCAAGGCGATACCCAGCACGGCAATGGATTGCGTGGCCGAAAGGTCCTTCTCACGCTCCTTTTCCTTTTCTTTCTCCTTCTCCTTATCCTTTAAAAACAATACATTTTAATTAAAAATTAAGAAAAATATTTATAGTATTATGTTACCTTCTCCTTGCTCTTGTCCTTTTTGCTCTTATCCTTCTCATCGTCGGCATTGGTGGTCTCGTAGTGATCGGAGCAGATGTGGAGCAGCTGCTGGATCTTAAGGACGTTTCCGGTGCCAGCATAGGCGCAAATGTCAACCATGGTAGTGGCCATGCTGCGGTGTGGCTCCTCCAGAACCTCCAGGGTCATCATCACAGCCTCGGTGGACTTCTGGCGGCCCAGGTAGAGCAGACCCAGACCCAGGAACAGGAACCTCGTGTAGGTATCCTTCAAATCCGACTTGGTCAGACCCATGATGGTCTGCAGCAAGAGTTCGGTGATCTCAGCGTTGCAGGAGCCCACACTGATCAGACCCAGGGAGAGGGCAGTGATGCCCAAGATCTCCACGCTGGCCGAGCTCTTATTGTTGCTGCCGAAGGAGAAGACCGTCTTCAGAGTGTCGATGACAATGGACCGGTTCGAGCCGGCGTAGGCTATTCCCAGGCCGAGAATGGCACCCACGCGCATGCAGGTGTTCTGGTTGTCAATGTAATCGGAGAGCAGGGCGTGCGCCGGATCAACCTCATTCCGAATGCCGCAGTTAACAATGCCACAGGCCAGCAGGGCACCGGACTTGATGTTGTCATCTGTGGAGTACAGGTATTTGTCGATCATAGTCAGACCGCCATCGACATCCCATAACAGGATGAGGCCCAGAGAAGCGGTGGCTGAGAGCATGCCGTGCTCCTTGTTCTTGTAGAGCCACTTGTTTCCATCCTCAGACAGCAGCTTGTCCACGCCGAAGCCAGCGTTCACAAAGCCGTTGACGAAGCTGGCCGCCAAGTTCTGCTTCGCCGAATCGACCTGGATGGAAGCAAAGCGCGACCGCGAGTTGTCCAGGTGCGACTTGTAGATGTCCTCTGGGGTCTTCGGCTCCATGATGTCCAGCTCACGGGCCAGGTTGAGGAAGTGCTTGTTCAAGTTGGCATTGGACATGATCTCCATCAGGTCATCATAGTCGGGAACTGACTCGTCCAGTTCCAGGCAGATCTGCTGGCGGGCCAGCATGAACGCCAGCTGCTTCTGCATGGCCGGCTCCTTGGGCTCCTTGAATATCTCGCCAATCTTGTCCATGTCGTTCAGCATAAGGGCCAGTCGCATAGCCTGTGTGTGCTGGGTGAACTTACGCGACAGTTGCAGCGCCGTCTCCAGAATAATCGTGTTATCCGGTTCAGGAACGTAGGGGTAGCACGACTGCAGATACAAGCATACCCTTGGGTAGGCCGACTCGTCCACGTAGTCGCTCAACAAGTGCAAATGGTCGATTTCGATCAGCAAATCGCAGGCATCCGCCTCCGCGTTGTGCTCCATGTTGTAGGGGATGATCTGCTTGACCAGCTCGATTAGCTGGGTGCGGAAGTCGCCGGTGGTGTCGTGGTAGTGAGCGGAGATCTCTCCGGACAAGTGACGCACATATTCGTGTCCCCAGTCGCCGATGCGCTGCTTTCGGTCACACAGGAAACGGTAGGCCAAGCAGTCCTTGCCGCTGCCCATAGTCATGGACAGCACCGAGATAATGTCCGCACACAACTGACGGGTCTGCTCGTCGGGCATCTGCTTGTACACTTTCTTCATGGTCTCGTAGTGCGGGCGCATAAACTTCAGCGGCTTCGGCACCGAGGTCATCGACGTGGTGGAGGCTCGAATCAGCTTCGCCATCATTTCCAGGGCTGGCTGGTAGAGCTTCTTGTCCGACTCCTGCAGCCGCTGCACCAGAAGCTCCAGCTCCTCCTGCAGCTGCTGGTCCTCATCGGAAAGCTCGGGCTGCTCCTTTTCCTTCTCGTCTTTCTTGCCCCCCTTCGCCCCGTCGGATGCTGCCTGCTTCGCCTTCAAATCCTTAGCATCGCTAGGAGCCGGCACCGGTTGCTTCTTCTCCTGCTTGGTCTCGCCAGTCATCTTTACGTTTTTCTGTCGCCTACAGTTCTATTTGGATGAAAAATTTATGTATGGTTCCGCTTTCCGTTGTAAATGGTTAGTTTTTGTTCCTCTTTTTTCGTTGTTTCGAAGCAGAATTACACAGCGATTTTTGGTGGTGTGACCGGTTGGCGGATTTCAAGTTTGGCTAGATGTGTCAGCAGTTTCTTATAAAATACCAAAAATAGTTAATATGAGCGATAACTCCTAATTGTTCTTGCCCTTTTAATTTTTTCGACAATTACTTTTTGTTTTTCCCTACAAAAGACTTCTAAATCAGAGACTATAGCTTTTGAATTTAAAAACAAATAATTGGTATACTTCAAGGGATACACTTTCTGAACATCTAAATTGCTAAAAAACATATAACTGTCAAGTAATTACTGTAATTAATTTTAGATAATTCTTCTAATTTTTTTCTAATCCCAACTTTTAATATAATTAACTTAAATTTTGATTAAGTTTTTCTCATGCATTTAAAAATTTTAGTATTTTTAAAATGAAGAAGAATGGTCACACACGGTCTATTTAGCGGCTCATGTTTTCGGCCCACATGTAGATTTGATTTGTTTACGATTAAGGAAATATGTTACGGGTGACACAGACCAAAAATAGCCTGCTCGATGGCGCCACAATTGCTAACAACCTATACACCACCCCGAAAGACTGCGAGGAGTTCTTCGAGACCCTCGATAAGCCTTCGGAGGACCCCAAAACGTTTGCACCCCGAAAAACCTGTTGGTTCTTCTAATTATTCAAAAGATACAAAAACTCACACATACTTTTCTTTTTAGTCATTCGCGCCGGAGTACTTACGACTGTCAGAGGATCTGCCTATATGGAATATGGTAACACAAAGATCCTGGCTATTGTCGCGCCACCGCATGAGCTAATGCGCGCCAGTGCCCGACGCATGAACATGGGTGTCATCAACTGCTATGTGAACTTCGCAGCCTTCGCCACCGGCGAGCTGGAATCCGTTCCAGAGCGGGAACGGCTCTTGGGTAGCATGCTGACAAAGGCACTCGAGCCGGTGGTGTGTCGAACCGAGTTCCTTAACTTTCAGCTCGACATCCGGGTGCTGATCTTAGACGACGACGGTTGTCTGCTGAGCACTGCCATCAACTGCTGCGGCGTGGCCTTGGTTGAATGCGGAATTTCCACCTATGACTTGATTACAGCCTCGACGGCGTGTGTTTATCGAAATCACGTTTTCCTGAACCCCAGCGCCAAGGTGGAGGAACTTCTGTGGAAGCATCGCGGAGCTCAAGTTAAACCTGAAAGTGAGTCGGCCGCCCAGGAACATGGTTTGATCATCACCGCCAGTATGGACACGTTTGATCAGATAGCTCAATGTCAACAGTGTGGCTACCTCAACCCGGAAACCTATGTGAAACTAATGGACTACACACTAGCTATTAATAGATCCCTAAGGCAGCTAATTCGGCAAGTGCTGACCACCCGAGTCAAGGAGCAGCACGAGTTGGACCTGCGCGAAAAGACAGAGAGCGCCCTAGAGGATAAGAAGCTAAAGGAGATTATTGAACGACTGCAGCAAAAGGGACTGGATGAGTTCATCCAGTCAAACATCAAAGAAGATCCCTATGTGAAAAGAATGTAAATAAATGAATTACGGGTTTGAAGCCGTAATCGTGCTAATTAGGAATCCTGAAATAACTTTTATTTATAATTTTGCACTTCGAAAGTCTTTAAATGATTCCGACACAGATAACAAATGCGTAGCGCTCCAAACGACAGTAGATTTCAGACTTGTTTCGCTATCCAAAGTTAAGTTTTTGATCTCTAATTTTTAGTCTTAATTTCCTAAAATGCTTTCGGTCACAACAGCTTGGACCCTACTGCTGGTCGGTAGAGGCTTCCAGTACGGCTCCGGAATATGCGAGGTCCCAGTAGTGTTCCACTTGATGCTTCTGGAAGAATTCACGGGCCATCTTTTCCATGGGAAAGATCTTGAACTTGATCTCGCCAAAGTGTCGTCGCTGACTGGTGCCCTCCCAGACGAGCACACACGAGTTGGGCACGTCCTGGCCATCGTTACCCTTGGCGATATCCTCTTCCCACTTGATACGGTGCAGCATGAGCCGACGGTACTTTTTCTGTTGCTTAGGACCACCCTCCACAACCACAACGCAGCAGTCACGGAACAGGGCCACGCTGCCGGTCATCTGCAGCTGCTTGGCATTCGTCTCCACCTTGAACTTCTTACTTTGGTTGTCCTGTAAGTCGCGAATCCGATACACGCTCACATGTACACCGCAGCTGGTATCTTCGCGCAGTTTCCGTTGCTTCTTTTCACTCTTTTGCTCGCTGGTCAGCTTTCGAGCATTGTTGGCGTCCTCGTGGGCTTTCTGTCGCTTGGCCATCTGCTCCCTCACGTGCTGTTCCATCTTCGTTGGATCTTGGACGGCCTCTGAGCCAAGCACACGCATAAGATTCGATATGCGAAGCTTGGGCTCAGGCGGTGCCACCAGACCCAATCGAATCTTTTCCTGTTCCTCCTTCCAGGCCTCACGACGGTTCTGGCGACGCAGCTTCTTCCGCTCCTTTTTGGTGAGGAATACCGGCAAATAGACAGGCTTCAAGGGTTCATCTACAAAAGGGAAGATGTTTATTACATTGGAAACTTTTAAGAATTCAGTTGTTATACTCACTTGGCGGCTTCATCTGAGTGGGGTGCTCAATAAGATTGCTTATGGCCGTCTGTCGTATGCTTATCTTACCGCTCGCCTCATCCAGAGTCTCGAGGTCTTGGGTTAATATAACCGAGTCCCACCACTCCATGGCGGGAACATCATCCGGCATATCCTGCTTGGGAGCAATGAGCGCCAATTTGGTGGCCGATGAGATTCCAGTTTTTCTGGCTATTTGCGAAATCTCGTTCTGAAGCCTTTCCAGCTGGCTCTTCATGCGCATCCGCTCCGCCAGCTGCTGAAACTTGCCAGGCTCATGGAAGCGCAACGTTCTCTTGGTGCGCACCGTTGGCTTCTGTGCTATCCTATCGTCGAAGTACTTGATTGCTTCATCCTGCGCCGAGCTGGTTGCCTCGCCACCTCGCTCGCCGACTCCCGTCGTCCTCTGAAACACCTCTCGTTTCTTGGCCCGGATGTTAGCCTTTAGGGTTGGCGTTACAGTTGGTATATTAATGGCACGACCGCTCTTGTCCACCGTCCGTCCTTCTTCGTCTAGGATCAGAGGCTTGGGTCGTTCCTGTGCTTGAGCCGCAGCTGCTGCCGCCGCCGCTACTGAGGGCTGGATCAGACTAGCTAGGTTGCCAGTCAGTTTGGCGCGAATCTGCGCCTGCAGCTCAGCTATCTTCCTGGCCTTTTCCGAGTCCTCCGGGGTCGGCCTTTTGGCCAAAGCCTGCGTGGCAAGAGCCACGGGCATGCCGATCTGAGGCACCGACGCTAGGAGGGGGTCCTTGTCCCGAAGATTACTGAGTGCTCGCTTGCGCTCCTCGATCTCACGCTGGGCGTTCACCATCATCATCTTGATCTCCTTTGAACTAAGCGAGGACGTGGCTGCAGTTGCAGTTGGGGTTTCATCGCCGCCATTCTTCTCCTTGACGTCGAAGCGGGATTTCTTGGTCGCTTCGACGACGCCTCCATCGCCGGCGCGCTTTCTTGCCAATTTTTGGTCGTTGGCGTCGCCATCCTTGCGCGTTATAATGGACGACATAATTCGCAATTAAATGGGTCTGACTAAAAAGTAAGAGTTATTTACCGAAAACTTTGCACATTCCTCAAGCGATTTTTTTGTAAATTGTCCCGAATCGTCCCAGAGGGTTTTGCAAAGAAAACAATTCCTCCCCACAACGTTTTCAGTGAAAATTTCTTCTATGCAGGGTTGTCTGGCATAACATCAGAGGCGTCAGCAGGTGGGGATCAGACTATGGTCTAATTCCACTAACTTTCCTGTAATGAAAAAATATTAAATTAAAAGTTAAATCAGCATTTGTATGATTAACTACGTAATCCAGGGTGTGGCATTATACTTTGAAAATTAGTAAAAATTAATTAAAAGGACCCCTTTTAGCAAAGCGCCCCTGAAATTGAAGTGCAGTGTTACCAGCTGACTAGCAACTATCGGAGAGCAACCCTGCTCGTTTCTCATTTTCTCGTTTCTCAATATGGCGAACGTATTTGTTGAAGCCGCTTACAACTCGTCTATTTTTTTCTCGTCGTGTCTGTGTGTGCTTAATTATTTGTTGTGAAAATTAGACGATTTTCGTGTGCACAAACAGCGGAAAAGTTGCGTTAAACTGCAAGCATGGCATCAGAGGAAGAGAACGACGATAATTTTCAAGGTAAGTGCATTGTTTTAGTCGGCAAATTGTCGGCCTGAAAAATTCGGCTACCAGAATGCGAAGAACCGTGGTCATGTTCGAGAGAGGCGAGAGCGTCGATGCCGCGCAGCGTGTGCTGCTTGTCCCCCCTCTAGACCCCTGATTCATTGTTTATTGTTACTAAAAAATCCAATTGGAAGGTTTATTAAAGAGTGACGTCCATACTTTGGGCTAATATTTCTAATATTGTGAAATTTTTTCTTGGTGGCGCGTTTTTCTGGGCTTTTGCTCCTCTTTCATTCCACACAAGTTTATTATTGCATTTTTGTGTTCTCCTGATTCGCAAATGCAGGTTATATATCCGTCCTGCTCGCACGTCAAAACATCTGTTTTTTACGGTTGTTTTGGTTGCTGCGTTGAAAGTGTTGGCCGGTCACAATGATTTGTTGTAAACTATTTTTAAGTATTTTGTAAGTTAATTAAGAATTTTAATTTAAGCCTGATTGTTACAACGATGTCTAGCAATACAATTAATAAATAGTGTTCTATGCAATAGCGCAGTGTGGCCACTCGCGGCAGCAGTAAAAATGGCATCCAGTGTGACCAGATAACAAAGAAAATCCGATAAGGGATGGAAGCAAGAAAGCCCCAAGAAAGAAACTATATCTGGTCACATTTCATTTTTCGTTTTGTTGCTTGGACGTGGCAGCCATGACGTGATTTCTGAGTTTTTGTTAAACCACTTACATTATTAAAACTAGAAAAAACTGTAATTTAGGGGAATACGTGCATTACTCGTCATAGCGGCGGCTCCGTTTTAGTGCAAAGAAAGAAATCCAGTGCGTAACCTGTCTGAGAAGTGTGTGCAAAAACCTGAATTTACCACAAATATTGTGTAAGAAAGAAGCAAAAAAAAAAGCTAATAGCAAAAAAAAAAAAAGAAAAATTGTGCATATGAAACAAAGATGCGTGGAATATGGAAAATCTTGTCGCACTTGCACTGACGCTCACACATATGTGCTTTTTTCCACTCCCCCTTTTTCCCCCGGCCGCGTACGGTGCGCTCTTGATTGATTTCTCCACTGTGTATATGTGCACATGCCTCAGTGTGTGTGCGTGTTATGCACGCGCGTTTCGTCGGTCGCCCCGTCTCAGTCGTTCCAATTGCGAACAAGGGAACTAAAAAAAAAAACGACAAAAGCGAAAAAAAATTGGAAAAACTCGACTCGCCGTCGCCGTATTCAATGCGATTTAATTAAATTTGTAATGAAATAGTAACAGCCAAGTCTCGTGTATACAATAAGTTCAAAGTGTCTACAAAACCCCAACCGAAAAATTGCCTTTAAAGCACTTAACCAAAATATGCCAACACACAAGTAAGAAGAAGCAGCATTCAAGTGGGAGAGTGTAGAGAGAGTGTGCTCAGGATAGTTGTGGTGGGGGGCGGGGGCTGTGATGAGGAGGGAGCCTGGCCAGGAAATTGCTGGAATGTTGTAGTAGTAGTGGTAGAAAAACCGATAAACAATATGCCGTATGCCGCGCATTATCAACCCCAATTTCGCGTACAATTTATGTTAATTTACTCGCAGCTGTTCCCGTTGTCTGCCGCCACTGCCACTGCCGCTACTGCTGCTTCTGCTGCTGCTGCGACTGCTCTTCTTCGTCGTCTTCTGTCCCTGCCCCCATTTTAACTTCTCTTTTTCCGACGCTGTTGCACTGTGGGCGTGCGTCTATGTCTATGTATGTATGTATGTATGGTGAGTGGGCCGAGTGTGCGTGCGTGTGGAAGTTATCCTAGAGAACGAACGTGGGAACAGAGCACCAGAAACTTTAGGTGTCTAAATTTAACACTCTCGTGTCTCGTGTTTGTTGTCTCATCTGCTTGTTCTAATTGGATTTCTGCCTCGGTGCCATTATCCTTGTCCACCCCCCCCTTGTCTTTGGAATCTGTTTCTGTTCTGTGACGTCAGCATTGTCTGCGTATTTCATGAAAGAACAAGACATTTCTTCATGGAAAACTCCCAGAATCAGCATTATTAGACACATTTTCTTGTAAACTTAAAAATTATGTTAATGTGATACCCCCCCTGCCTTTGGAATGCCGACCTACCTGTGATTTCACCACGATTAGTGCCAATTCTCACCCAACGATGGTTCCGATCCATTTTTAATGGGTTTACCTTACCCTCTTTTCATTATTTTCTTTTTTATAAATATGTATGTTAATCAAATAACGAAAGTGTTTATTTTTGCACCCTTTGCTAATAAATGGCAGCTGGAATTCATTTCTCGTAATCTGAGTTACTCATAGCTGCAGGTAAACAATCGAGTAATGCGACATTGCATAAATCGCAAGTGCGCGAGAGAGAGACGGGTGTTGCGGTAGATGTAGTGCGACTATTTATGCAGTAATGCACAAATAAGGGAAGGGGGCGAGGGTGGCCGAGAGAAGAGAGAAGGGGAGAGGGCGTGCTTAAGTGCCTAAGCTTACGTATTAAGAACTCTTACTGAACTTGTTTTCTTTTCAAATAAATCAGGTGTATCAAAATGGCTCTGTTGCCGAGGGCTCAGGCTTGCATAAATATGCCTAAAAAACCATATCCACCAACAACAACAACATAATATCGTGGGGCGCCAGCAGAAATAAAAAAATAAAATTCAATACAAGAAGTGAAAGTATATTGTGTGTTTGTGTGAACTGCATTTGCGGCTGTATTGGTGGCGATCTTACCTTGCTGTTGCGAACGCGAGCACGAAACTAAGCAGGCCATCCCACTCGCACGCACTGCATTCAATCGAAGCAACAACAAGTGGTGCTTTTTTATATCCGCCATGTAGTATTTGGTATTTGGTGGTGTGTGTGTGTGTCTGCCGTGTGCTGGCATTTCGAAAAAGTTTACTTGCGCTTAAAATCCACAAACTATGAAACACAAATAAGAAATGTAAATATTATCTTAGCTTTCAATACGCTGTTCATTCGTTTTGAAAAATGCTCTCTCAAGTAGAACAACACTGAAGAGCAATTATTAGTGGGGCGATTGTTGTTGTTTTTGTTGATCTTTTCATTTTGACATTTGACGCGTATCACACTCGCTCCTCCGCTCCTCTCGGCTCTCTTTCATTGGGAGCGTGTGCCGCTCTTTCAAAGCTCCTTGTTGCTTTTTTTTTTTTTTTGTTTCTTTCAGTTAGAGTACCCCCCGCCGCCATCCACCACTCCCTCCCTCCGACTACAACAACAGTTCGGCATTTGACATTGATTACCGTAATACCTTTGGCGTGTCTGTGTCTGTCTGCTCTGTGTGTGTGTGGGGCTTTTAATATTTGTGCAACTGCTGGTTGTCTTGTTATTTTACCTATTTACAGTAATTGTGTTGTTGCTCGGAGAGAAGGCCGTGCTTCAGTTCGATTCGCTGGCTTTGGTTGTTGTTTTTGTTGTTGCCATTTTGTTGTTCAGATTATTCGTCGCCCCAACACTCACGTAAACACTTACATACACTGCCACAGAGTTCATACAGCAATTGATGATATTTTTTGTTTTTGTTTTTGGAAGACGTGTGTACGAGTTAATTTATTTTTAAAGCGTCCACTGTACTTGTATGGGAATGTGAAAATTAATCAACGCTTATCATCTATCCTCTCTGATCGCATTTATCGATGCTCTTTGAGGTGCTCTTTTTTACGACTTGTCCCTTTTTGCATTTAAATGCTATGAGGCACGGGTACTGTCAGTGGCGCACGGGAGGTGAAAGTGAAGGTCATTAATATTTGCATATGGAAATGTTTACGCAGCGAAAATGCCAAAACATAAATGGTCATATGGCAAATGCCGTTTCGTTTTGTCTCATTTCTGCCCAGTCGCTTGTCGTCTCGTTTCGTTTGTTTTCTCTGTCAACGAGCGGTCGCCATTGTGGTTTCCGTTTCTGTCTCTCTTCGGCTCTCTTTTTTGCCATTCCATCAGTGTTGCTAACTATTGATTATAACAAAAGCTCATTTAGGCGAAAAATAGCTCAAAGGGTTATATTATCTATTTAGTAAAAAAGGGTTTAAAAATAGAAAATCAGCATTAGTAGATCTTAAGTGCCATAAAATTAGTAAATTAAAAGTTGAAACTTTAAAAAGCTAAATTATGGCTAGAAACAGAAGCTAGTTCCCAACACTGTCGCCTTAACCTAATTGGTTCAATAGTTTTGTAATTGTGAGCGGCTTCCGCTTTTGGCCCACAATCCAAACCTCTATTTTTGCTTCAATTGTCACCGAAAATAGGTTTATAGTAACCATTATGTTGGGCAGGGCGTGTGCGGCAACAATTCGCGTATCTATTTGTGTCATATCCCCCACTGTACAATATCCAAGCCATAACACGCATGTGTGTCACCGGATTTGTGGTGTTCCTGTGGTGTGGCACATGTAATCGAAATAGCTTCAATAGTTTCTCTCAGAGGTGGTGCCACAACGTTGTCTAATTAGCCAATTAGTCGCTGAGCTGAGCTGAGCTGGTGGTGCTGCAAGCTAAGCTCGCCGCATTGCCAACTAGGTGCATAATTATTGCCAACGACATTGCCAGCGTCGCTTTATTTACAGTGCTGGACAAGGTACTAGGTGCTCATGACCAAGTCAGAGGTCATGAATCAGTTAGTACTGTTAGGATCTTAAATCATATATCTGTTATATTTTCTTGTTTGGACATGTTGTGACAAGTTTATTAATGTAATCAATCGTCGCAGAGTTACCAGCTCAAAAACAAAAGCAAAAGTAGTTGACAGCCCTAGTTATTTGTTATTGTTGCCACCCGACTTGTTACATATATTGCTGTGTTGCTCTCGCTTTTGCGGTGGTAGTTATATGTACTTGAGGTTGTTTTTGTTTTTGTTGTTGTATTACTTGCTGCGGTTGGCTTTAGTCATACACTCACGCTCAGCAATACAAGCTATAATGTTTATATAATTTCTGTTTGTATCTTTTTTTTTTATTTTATTTTTCACATGCATACCGCGGCGAGGTTTTTATGGCTTGTTGTGGGTTGGGTTTTGGGGTTTCGGTTTTGGGTTTTGGGGTTTTTAGTCTAAAAAGTGATGATATTGTCTTACAAAGCTAGGCTTTAGATAAGTAGCTCAAAGTTACTAATTAGAATATTTTATGAATAATCCATCTAATTAAGCTGACTAACAAATTATTACTTAAAAGTCAATAAATAGACCAGACTTGTGATTCAACCTCGGCCTAATTTTGAAGGCCGTATGAATAATGCTCCATTTAGGCTCTCGAGTCTCCAGTCTCTAGTCTACGATTCTTGGACCTCATTTTTTATTGTTAGGCACTGAATAGAATTGCAACAAAATGCCGGAAACTACGCCACCGACAAGGCAAGGTGATGGCCAATGCTGACGCTTCCAAAGCTCTTTTTTTAATTAATTTATTAGTGTGTGTGTGTGTGTTTGACACACAATAGGCTGACATGGAAGTGAAGAATTCTGCGGAAGTTCAATTAACAACCAAGTCTAGAGAGGTGGGTGGGGGGGGGGTGGATTTTAAAAAAGAGAGTTTCAAAGCCAAAATCGGATAACTCTAATACTGGCATTAAAGCAGCCGTTAAATTGGTTAATGAAATATTAAAAAGTTGATTGTACGCTCAATTCGAGTGACCTTCAGTAATTTTAAAGATATAGCCTCAAAGATACAAGTGTGTGTGTGTGTGTATATAGTATATACAAAATGTATATTCATTTTTTATAATGAAAGACAGCAAGACAGACAACCCAGCCGGACAGAGACCCAGAGAGGGAAATACCAGTCGAGACTTGCTCCGTTGGTTGTTATTGTTATTGTTGTTGTTGTTGTTATTTGGTTTCTTTCAAGTCCGTTTTTTTTTTTTAGTCCAGTTCCAAATTGCCAACA